TGATCATATATACAGTTAAAAACAAAATTATTAGCAGTCCTGTTGAATTATAATTTTTATTTAACTGCTATTTAATGGAGAGATTGTTATGGATACTTCAGCATGAAGTGCAATGTAAAGGCTTAAATGGGTTAAATAGGATTACTAGGCAAGTTAGGTTTACTAGGGAAGTCATTGCATAGCAGTAGTTTGTTATATTGTTATATAAATATTCCATCCAAAAAAAAAAAAAAAGAGTTTATGTAGAAGAAAATATAATAGGAAATAATGTGAACAAAATTGTATTGCTCTGCTAAACATCAGTTTGGAAATATTTGAAAAAAAAAAAAAATCTTTTTAAATGGTTAGATTGAGGGGTCTAAAAGGTCAAATTGTACTTCCAGTCATTTATATAGAATATCCAGGGTATATTATATCAGATTGTGTTTGGAATTTTACTGTACCTGATCAGATTTATATATATATATATATATATATATATATATATATATATATATATATATATATATATATATATATATATATATATATATATATATATATATATATATATATATATATATATATATATATATATATATATATATATATATATATATATATATACATATATATATATATATATATATTATTTATTTATTTATTTTTTTTTTTGAAGCAGTAAACATGTCAGGCTGAATAATGAAAATGAATCATTGACTTCTGCTGTCTTCATTTGTTAAAAAAAAACACTGATTTATTTACAACTTAAAACGGCGTCTTTGAATAAAAAAAAAATGTAAATAAAAAATCTTACATTTACCTTAGGAACGGTAATACAGAAAATGTTGCCACTTTTAAAACCTTGTCTTTTCCAAACCATGGTTTACCTTGGAAATGATTATTGTCCCATATGGACAGTGGCGCCTTGTGCGTTACTACCATGAGAGGGTGCAAATTAATGGCGCTTTTTTATTTATTTATTTATTTTTTACATAATTTAAATTGATTATTAAACAGTATACACTACGATATACAAAGCAAGAAAGACTGAGAATAAATAAAGGTGTGTGTTTTAACGTGTGTATGTGCTTGCATGGTGGAAGATGGCTGGGTAAATAAATCTATTGGCTTTAGTTTTGCTGGCCTTTTTTTCCACACATTAAAATACAATTCAGATAGCTTTGTTTAAAAAGGGTGTACAAAATGAGGAAACTCTCTTTAATACAGCTAAACTTAATTGTGACATTTGCCAAATGACCTAAAACTAATGAGACAAATAATGCTTCCCCACAGCCTATGTCTGCGCAACATCCTTACATGGAACCGCTATACCATTCAAGGTGTTTTTAGTTATTTTATCTGACAGACTGGCACAAATAAGCAGGCATCTTCATTCTCACAATAAGTTTCTGAGTTCTCTTACCCTTCCAAAAAAAAAAAAGAAAAAAAAAAAGAGACATTTCAAGCACTTACCCTCAGATGTTATTTGTTATTCTTGTTTATCTAGTAGATAATTGACCAACAAAGAATATATTAAAATAAAAAAAAACAATGATGTGTTTTCATTTTTGATCTTTGACAGCAAGCATCAGTGTTTTTTGAGATTAAAATAAGATTAAGTGTCCCTAACTACTATGTACTTACATAAAAAAAAAAATACAATGTACTTACTGTGTTTATAATGTATTTTAGAACACTTGTGGTGCTTTTGAGTTGGGATACAGGTTGGGTTTTGTGGCATGGGTAGGTTTAAGGGTAGGTTAAGGTGTAAGGGATGGTCAACAGTGTATTTACAAATGTAATTACAAAAGTTAACTACAGATGTAATTACATACATGTATTTAATCAAGCATAAGTACACAGTAAATACATGTATTTACACAATAAGTACATTGTAACAAACTATTAATTCCTATGTAAGTACATAATAGTTAAGGCCACTTAATATAAAGTGGGACCGAATATGGGATGATGGGGCAGGGTGGTGCTGGATATGTGCATACCTTTGAATAAAATCCTGCAGACGCCCCTGCATGCAGAAACCGCTAGCCATTGGCATCAATAGTAGGAAAAACAAACACTATGAAAGTCAATGGTTACTGGTTACCAAGTTTGTTCAAAATATCTAATAAATTAAGGCCAAATAAATGATGACAATTTTTTCATTTTTAGGTCAACTATCCCTTCAAGTATTAAAAAAAAAAAAACACTCAAAGAAGATGAAGCAAAAACACAATGCATTAAACAAAACATTAGGTTATATGCACAGCTATTGTCTCTTCCCATACTGATAAACATTCGGTGAATGGTTAATGTGACTTCAAGTTTATACAGTTCCTTTTATAGCATTGACCTTGTAATATAATTAAAATATAATCAGTTAAATAGACTTCGATATTCACTTAGTTGTTTGAGTGTAAAACAAGATGAAATCCGTTTACAAGCCATCAGGATCAGCGAGCGCTGAAACTCTGAAAATACTTGGGTAAAATAAATGTTCATACTTTAAAGACATGGCATGGAGAAATGTCATTTAATGCAGTGCTTCTTGTACATCCTGAGACCCACTTTATATGGTATAACAATCAGGTAGTGAAAAATGTTGATTTTTAAAGAAAACAGACCTTAAATGCACTGATTTTGTAACACCATGCAATTCACCAAAAGCGCTTGACCCAGGTTACTGAAAAATCCGTCTGCATACACCACATTAAAGATTATATTAGTGCCTGGAAGCAGTAAAAATGACACATACTCAGTAAGGACACGGGGGCATCTTTTTGGGCGTTTCCTCCTCTACAGTTCTGCTGGTTTGGTGCAGGGGCCACTGGTTTGTAGGATTGGCCTGTGGCACGGTACATAGCCTGGACCCAAAGGGCACGGTCCTGATCGTCATTGCTGGCAAACACCACCAGATCGCCTTCTCGGACAGCGCTGAAGAAGGCTCTGCCTCCCTGAAGACCTTAAAACATGATGTTGTTGAAAATGTGTTTCTTTTAGTCAATTTACTGAAGAGTATTTCAACATTTTAATTAAAAAAACAGTCATTGTTTCATTCTTAATCCTCTACCGCATGTTGTAACATTACATTTTTATAATTCTTCTGCCACTATTTCTTTTAGACCAATGTTCTAATTTTTTTGTTGGAAAGAGAAGACCTTAGTTAAGCCAATGATGTGCTTTGGTTAAGTCACATGATGTCCAGTGTTGTTCTGTGGCATGATTTCTGACAGACTGACATTTATATTGTGAGTACTTGCTAAACGCAAATAAAAAACACCAATAAAAACAAAGTATCAACTCATGTCAAATCCACAAAAAAAAATCTGAGACATCACCTCCAGTAAGTTAAGATGACATATTCACAACTCAAAAAGGTTTTTAATTAAATTATTTTTTTTTGTAAATCGATCAAATGGCTACACATGGAACGTGCAATATTGCAATAAGCTAGCTAACTAGCAAGGTCAGCTGTGATCTTTTAAGTTGTAACAATAACAACATGAATGCTAGTAATATAATGTTGATTAGTCTTATGGTTATAACTTTTGCATTATAGACAAAAAATCATTTAATGGCAATATTTTGATTAGATATAAATACACAGAACAGTGTATTAGCAGAGATGTATAGTAATTAAGTAGAACTACTTCACTACTTTACTGTTTCTGTACTCTACTGGAGTATTGTTTTTTTCTCCTGTTTCCACTTTTACTTCTGTACATATTTTTGATGAGTTTAATACTTTTACTCCAATAGATTTTTTATGTGCTGCATCGTTACTTGTTACTAGGGATGTCAAAATTATTAATATTGGTTTATCGGTTACGTACTGACGTCATTTATCTCCTTTGCGCGATATCGCAGTAGAATACTATGGCGAAGGAGGCGAGAGCGAGTAATTAACGCTCCTACTACAATGAAGGCGGTACAACACATGAGCCGCTATTTCACTACTAGTCCAGAAATATTTGTTTCAAGCAGCGCTGACGGTGATGCCTCGGTACA